CTTCTGGTACAGGAGAAGAAGCAGCAATAAGAATAAAAATTCCCAAGAGCTTTCTGCAGTAGCATCAAGAATGGCATTATTTTACAACAGGAACTTTCAGTTTCTCAATTCTGATCATGAGGATGTGCTTCACGTAATTCTAGCATACTGGATATTTTTTGCCTTTTGTGACAGATTTTGCACAAACACTGTTTTGTACTTGGAGCATCAACAGACATTTAACTTCAGTTAGGTTGGATTCAAGAGGTATGAAGCAAATACATGGCGAGTTGGTGGAGGAAACTGGCATTAGCTCCTTGAAAAAAGCATAGCAGAAGATTACAAAATTAAAAAAAATTCTACTAAATTCAGTTGCTGCATTGCTGGATGTTTTATCTTCTCCTGAGAGAGAACATGTACATTTTGAATACCCGAAATCAGAAAATATTAATGAACGTTGCTAGTGCCTTGTCTGCTGAGGCAAAGACATGTATTTTCCAATCACATTAGTTTATATAGAGCCTGGTCTACAGAGCAGGCATCTTAAAATGATCCTGAATATTTTAAAGTATTTACATGGACATTAAGAGCGAGACAGAGGAATTCAATCAAGTTATGGTAGTAGCTTAATTTGATTAAAATATTTGAAAAATATATCTGTCTGTCTTGTGAAACCATGAATTTGTTTGTAACAACCAACTTTATTACAATTGCAGTTTGTTTATCAAAATTCCACTTAAGTTCCCTACCTCCCTTTTTTTTTGAAAATATATTTTTAGTGTAGTAACATGTTTCCATCACAAGTCTGTAGAACGCACCGTAATCTTTTATTTTACTTTAAACTGTCATATTTACTGTTAAGACCCACTTTTTGAACAACTGCATTTTTGCAGTAGAAAGTGTCCATTGGCCTATGTTGTAATTTTATAGTTAGAGCATTGGAAATGATATAATATTTTTTTGTATCCTAAAAACACTTGAACAGCAGAACATACGAAATTTTCAGAATGTTGCACAGAATTTAGAGGTAAGAGAATGGGCAGCCTACTTTGGTTACGAACTGACTGATTCCTAGCGATGCTGTGATTTTCATTGCATTGATTCATTTCTTCGACAGTAGTTTTCAGAAACCTGTTTTTCTGGAGAAGGAAGAAAATCTGGTTAAATTTATTTAGTTACATTGAAGATTTGGAGAATATTTAGGAATGGTACACATTAGCTTATTCTGTAATCTTAAGATTTTGGGTCTGCAGTATTATTTTTTTTTGCTTATCACAGCCCTAGAAGGGTGAAAGAGGCATAGTTTGTGACTAACACAAGAACTCAAGTGACTTTGAAGTACAGTTCAATTATTGTTCCCAGGCCTCCTCTTTGTGAAAGTATAATAAATGACAAATACATAAATTATTTAATGAGTTGAAGGGATTGTAACTGAATAAGCGAACTTCATTTTTTTACTTTGAGTCAGGTTTTTTTTTTTTTCAATATAAACTAGTGCCACAAAACAAAAAAAAACCCAAACAAGATGAAGAACCAGTGAAAAACAACTGAAAAGGAGGCTCATAGCCATATAAATAATCAATATTGTATTGATACAGTAATCAATCCATACAGTCCTCATGGGCCACCAAACAGGATGAGGATAATGGTGAAAATGACTTTGAAAAAAACCCAATGAATTAAAGATAATTAACAGTAAAAGAACTAGCACAGAAGATTGTTACATAGTGTGAAGACTGAGAATGAAAAATGGAGATATTGATATCTAGCTGATCAAATGCTGCATTTCTTTTTTACAGGAAAAACCTAACAACCCTGATTTTTCTTTTCTGATGATTTTAGTTGAACATAGAACGAAAGGGTTTAATATGCCTTATTATGAGTGATTTATAGCATCTGTGCTGGCCTGTATTCAAGAAAAAGATAATATGTTCTTTTTATACTTATGAAGAGGATGAAGGAACAGTGTTGCTAGAAGAAAATGTTACGTGATTTCTGTGGCTGTTTTTAGAAGCAGGAGTATAGAAACAGGGTGCAGATCTACTCACAGGTTTTCCTGGCAAGGGCAGCCTCAAAGGTACAGTTCTGTAACTCAAGGATTGTCAGGCATCATGGCATTAGATCTGTGGATAATTCAAATGGGAAAATATACTTTACTCAAACAGAAGAGATCACTGTCCCAAGCGTCTCTTAAATCAGTAGCTGCATGTAGGCTTGACAGAAATATTTATTTTTTGCATAATTTAATAGCACATGCTGCTGAATTAATTGATGTCCCGCTCATCAAGCAGCTGAAAGCAGGTCACTAAGGTGGTTTCATAATAGTTTGCAATGCTTAAATATGAGTTTGGATGAAGTCAATGCAAACGATACTGCTTACACATCTATTTAGAATTAGATTCAGTTCGACATAATGGCACGGCAAGATAAGCACATGTTACCAGTGCGTGTCCAGGGGCGGGCAAGATCCTTACACACAAGGATGGTGTTGCACGGCTTGTTTGTGGATCACTTTTGTGTATGTACTTGCTTTCTGAAGACAAATTTAATACATTACTTAAGATCAAGATTGAGCATTGTAAACAAGAAAGCCTTTTTTTTTTGTTTGGTTTGGTTTGGTTTCGGACGTAGTTAGCAGGTATCTGTTGGACTCAGCATTCAGGATAACATGGCTTTGCATTTTGAAAATGTATTTATTGCTGAGTCCATGATGATTTTTGCTTAAACTGTTGTTACGTACTTGCTAAAGAGGGTAAATATTTTATATGTATGGTATAAGTGCTGTGTGCTGTATATTCTTTTGCGGTAAAGGTTGAACAGCAGTGGTTTTTTGTATTCACTTCCATTTTGCCCTGCCTACATCCTCACTCTTTACAACAGGATCCAGGTCTCCGAGACAAGCTGGGATCAATTTCCTCTCTTCTGCTACCCATTCTTTTTAGTTTTCACTATTAGTAGGTCTGTTTTTATTATTTCTAATAAATGTATCTATCTTATGACTACTGTGCATTTTTAGTTAAAATGGTTAAAAATGCCAATTGTAGTCCACCCTGAGACAAATGTAGATATTATTGTACCAGTATCAGGCTGATTTTGTCTTCAGAAGTGTTTTTTCTTCTGTTTCTTAATTTCCTATAGACATGCTAGTGACATGTCAAATTTCAATTGATGAAACCCATTTTGAATTAGTGTTCATTGCTATAGAATAATTCAAATGTTGTTGGCCAAGTTCTAGTGTTTACATTGGTGAAAGTCTTACCTATTCCAGTGAACTAGTTTGGATTTACACTGCTGTAACAAGAAAGAACTTGGCCATTGCTCTGTTTTGTAAGAGTAATTCTGTGTATGTCTGATGTAGCTGTGTAAAAGGGGATCAGAGGAAAATGTTATAGTAGCTGTTACAGATTGCCTTCTGTCTTCTAATCCTAATGTACTGCACCTTTAAATTTTTCCCTTTGTTTTATTGTGTTTTGTACTCATGGTTGATTTTTTATTTTTTATTTATTTATTTATTACTCTGGACAGTTTTATTTTTCTTTACCTGTTATTTCCTTTTTAACCTATCTTTACTTTCCCTGTCATCTGATAATTCTGAATTGTTTGTCTGTATATAGCTATAGACATAGATGCCACTGGCTTAGATGCAGAAGAAAATGATATTCCAGCAAACCATCGCTCCCCCAAACCCAGTGCAAACAGTGTAACATCACCCCACTCCAAAGAGAAAAGAATGCCCTTCTTTAAGAAGGTAACACCGACTTCCAAGCTCCCATCTGTCCACCTGCTCACCTGCACTGCGTCACATTTCTAGTCCTGTTAACTGTCTGCGTCCTTTGACAAGCCAATAACATGCATGCTTTGTTGTTCTTTGTTTCTTTTCCATGCTGCTGTAGCTAAGCAGAAGCAGAAATCGGTAAGTTTATATCGACATTACCTGTGTTTATCCTGCCACTGGCATCATTAGCATTATTACCCCAGATTAATAATGCAGCTATTCTAGAATTAAGGAAGAAATGTATCGAGCTGTTAGTGGATTCAGTACAAGAAAAGAAACAGTCCCAGGTTCAGTGCGTCCGTGAAACTCTGCTACAGTACGTATCCTTTTTGATGGAATAATAGGACACACTTAGAAGGCCTTCTAAAAGTTTGAGAAATTTATTTTTAATAAATCCATATAATGCACCTCTCTAGTGCATGCTTATTCTTTCTATCTTTCTCAAGTTATTTTTTTTCCTTATAACTCAATCTATTGAAATCATTACTAGAATCTCATCAGATACTCAGATTGTGCTTAGAAAACAAATAGTCAAAACCATTGTATTTTTCATTTAGTCAGTATTTAAACTTCTAAATCACTAGGTGCAAAATCTGCAGGTAAACAAGACCAGTGGAAAACCGCATACTTGTTTTGATCGTTTACTTTGAGTTTTTCCTGTTGTCATGTATAAATTATCAGCCAAATGTTCTTGCCATCCATCAGTCAGACTTTCTTAGTATCTCAGCTATTGGAAATGGTACTGGTGGTTCCCTGGAGAGCCAATGTCTCTCCATAGATAACCCAGATAACTACAAAATTATGCAGTTGGCATCCTGTTACGGCAAACTGCAATACATTTCTAGGATCTTTGCTGGAATAAGTTATCAAGACATTAGGTAGCAGCCAAACTATGCGGTTAAATACCATATTTCTACTTTTTGGTTTTTAAATCTTAGTCTTCGTAGCTCTTGTTCATTTGTTTTTAGCCGCTCACTTAAATCTACAAATAACAACAGACTGTTATAAATGCTTATAAACAGTGCCAAGTGACACTGTTGCCATTGCTGTGGATGCTCTCATGTTTAGTAAATAAAACTTTTTCTCTCTCTCTCTTTTCTCTTGAACTCCTTTAAATAATATTGGATCCTTCTCATTTCCAAACTCACCAGTATTTGCTTCAGTAGGGCCTGTTAAGTACCACATCAATCACAGTCCACTATGGAAATCAACAGCAGTTTCTTGCTTCTGAGTAATTTCTTATTCAATCATATTTATAACCAAGTATAAATGCTAAGGAAGAATAATACATGCTGAATAATATATGTTCACATGTATTGGATGCTATCTGCATCAGCATCTTTCGAAGATGCAACTTCTAGATGAGCCACCTTGGACCTGGATGGTGGGTAGTCCCATCTCCCTCTTCATTCTGTGGTGCCTCTTCCTTCTGTATCAGAATCACTACTGGTTATAGTGGTTTTTGTAATACTGACATTTACAGTAAATACTGGGTGGGCATCCTAAACTTATCATACATAGTCAAACCACTGAGCAAAAGCCATATGGTCAAAACTAAACTTTATGCCAAGTTCATATTTGAACTTGAATCTGCAAGTGAAAGCTGTATAGTTCTGTGCCAGTCCCTTAGAAAATATTAGATTCTCTAATGCTGAATTAAAGAACTTTAATGCTTCCATTAGATAACTTTTACTCAATTTTCTGCTGACAGCTTCATTACTTCAAGCTGTAAAGATTAGAGAAAAAAAAAAATGCCTGTTTCGACAGAACAGATTTTAAAAATACCCCGTATTCCATCAAATAAGGTAATTTCTGTGCTTTCCCTAACTTTCAAATAGCTGGTTAACTTTTAGCATGAATACCTTTGGTTGAGTCAGCCACATTAAGACAAAGATCTGTTGCATCAGGACACTCATGCTGTAAGCACTTACACATCTGTAACGAATTTTTCTTAGGATCTGTCTCTAATATCCTTATCAGATTATTAGTAATATTAGCAAGAACAGTGAAGGGCTGCATTTTGATACTGGCACAGCATAATTGCAGGGTTTTGCTTTGAAATGTGTTGAGTCAGATTCTGCACTGTGTAAAATAAGCTAATTTCACATGCTTATGATGCCTTGGGCACTAGTATTCATTCTTATGTTACTAATTATCTGGTGAAGCTACAGGTAACAAAAAATAAGATAAATTACGTTGAAAAACCATTCGCAAAGATGTTTTCCATGTTTTAGACTGCTTTAGACTGCTGCTTGTGTAGCATTTTGTGCTGTCACTGTATTAATGTCTGTCTTTGTGTTTTTGTGTTTCGGAATGTATATACTTATTTTAATGTTATTGTGAAACACCTTGGGATACATTGAGTACTGAAACAATAAACAATGACTGTATTCTGTGATCTTGCCTGATGTATTTGTACTATGTTGGTATTTGAAAAATAGATCTGGCATACCTTTTTCCATATCACCCACACGTTCCTGGGTTTGGATTTAAATATTTTTTTTCCCCAAGACAAAGATAAACCAAACCCTCCCTTACAAACAAAAAACTCGTTCTGATAAGATACATTCTTGGTGATACATATTGAATAGCTCTTTATTAAAGAAAAAACCCCAGTTTAATTTGTTTATATCTTATTTTGATAACATTAAAATTTTTTGCAATCTTTGGAAGCAGGCAATCTTTTTATCTTTGTATTTTAAAATACTTTTTACAAATTGTGCACGATACATCAGTAAGTAGTTTGGTGAATGTTGTGCTAACAGAATCCAATCTTGGGTGGTGTCGGGAACTTCCCAAAGTGGAAGGATTGCTATCCCAAGCTCTGTTTATGAAAATTTTCTATAAATACAAACTTGATCAGTCATTATTTTGATTTCATTTGCAAGTGAATTGCGGATGCAAATGTGCAAGTCAGACTATGAGTGCTCCCATGGGAATTTGCAGTGGTGTCACAATGTTTGGTCAAGCAGTGGGCAGACCTGAACATAAAAAGAGATGTGTTATGCTTTTCCCCTCCCTTTTTATTTTATTTTTCTCCTTCATAATTTGCCTACGTAAAATTTTGGTGGGAAGCAGATGTCACAGCTCTAGAGTCAATCATTTCAAATCATTAACTATTGGAAATAACCTTTGCAATTAACCAGTTAGGAATTATGGAGTGGGACATGTGAATGTCTCCAGAATAACAGTTTTGTAGCTATCCAGAGCAAATATGAAAACAGCAAGAAAACCAAAAGTCAGAGAGAAGCTTTTTCAAAAGAAATCCCTGAACGTGTTTTGTCCTTATCTTGTACTACCAGTTTTCGGGAAAAGTTATTGAATCCATGATTCCTGTGTTGGTGACATCACTGGAAATTCAGAGTTCCTAATATTGTAAGTAATGTGTAATACTTTCTCTACGTGCTGCGATGCTGAAAGCTTTTTCTGTTTTGCAGACAGAGCACATCCCTCCCTATGATGTAGTGCCTTCTATGCGACCAGTAGTTTTAGTGGGGCCTTCTCTGAAGGGATACGAGGTAAGTGATCGTTGTGAATCTTTTTCTTTTGCCAAAAATACTGTGCTTCATTCGTATTTGAATGTTCAAAGGTAGTTCAGCTGAATAACATAATTTATATCATAGACAAAAATATAGATAGTTTTTATTTCTGCCAGATACCTGCTTACATGTATTTTATTTCATATCAGAATTCAGATTAAAAATAAATTACTTACATTCCAATCATATTGTTCAGATATAAGATTTACTGTCAACTTTATTACATATTATTATTAGCATCAGGTGTTATGAGTTTCCTATGTGATTATTAATTTGTTGTTTGTTTGCTTCTAGGTAACAGATATGATGCAAAAAGCATTATTTGATTTTTTAAAACATAGATTCGAAGGGCGGTAAGTACTTTGCAATGCAAATCTACTTGAGTTCAGGTCCTGTTTAGGTACTGCCAGGTTTTTAAGAAATAATGATATTCTTGGCAAAATATGTGTAGAAAATTAGGAATGGCAGCTAATTCCTTGCTCAGTGGACTATAGCGCTTCCTTAGCAGAGCACACTGAGGCCGTATTGCAGTGGGAAGTATTCAAGAGCTTATATATGTTGAGAGTGGAAAAAAGGATGTTCATGACTGACATTCATACTCTGCATTGCTAGATACTTATCTACAGATTTAATAAATGTGTACTATTCAAAAAATCTTTCATTTAAGTATTTTTAAGCGATATCTCATCAATGCTTCCTGGGTTCTATACAAGTTGATGGGCGCCACCATTCCATCTCAGCTCTAGTTGCTTACAGTGGCATCTAACTTGGAACGAGTGTTATGA